AATCATTGTGTAAGGAAGAAAATTTCCAAAAGCCATTTTGAAATTTTTAATAATATGACTAATAATCATAAGATACTACTTTTTGATCCATAACATGGGTTGTTTGAACTAACTAAGAAAAAACTTTAAATTGCATCAGTATTATAACGAGCTAATTAAATTTTAAATCACAAAATACAGTGAACCATATGTAAGACAGCCAGACACAGCTGCTATAAAAATATTTCTACGGAAGTGGTTGTCTTAGGGAGGGGATAATTGATGCCAATGTTGTTGTTAAATTACCACTTTTGTCGTCCTGGTACAGTTTTCTGTCTATACATTTTGAATCTGAAATAATGCATTCAGCACGGCATGCACACTGGGTGTAGGAGGAAGAGAAGCAACAGAAAGAAACTGGAGAGTATGGTTAAATGATAAAAACCAAATCCTTAATACCACTATTGACAGAAAGAGACCAAAAATGCAAATAAGAAGCAAATTTCCTTAAAAGCTAACAATGAAGAAGGATTAAAATTAGAATAAATGGTTAAAACCATGGGATTTTTATTGATATAAAACATCAAATGCCAAAGTGAAGTGGTGTCTCCCCCCCCCAGTATAATTTTTCGATGTGGAGAAATGGAAAACATGATTTTTTTTTAACTAGCAATCGTAGGCAATGCAGAATTTATGAATTTCTTTTCTTTGAACATAATTTTGTGTTGTTCAGTACAAAATTTAGGTCACGCATCTCTGCTGTTTGGAGGAAACTTAAAAAAGAACTCTGTGAACATAATTAAAAAAAAAAAAAAAAAAAAAAATACGGGTCACTAAAATAAATAAAAATTCAGATTCTTTTCTTGTGTTCTAACATATGTAATTATTACTTCAGTAGATTCTAATATTTATTTTATAATCATGCATTATTACTACTTAGGCAACAATACAGACATATATAAATTTTCACTATTTTTTACTGTCATTACATGCACAATTGCTGTTTTTTATTAACAAGAGAATTGAACAAAGCATATCAATCCTTTTGTATCAGCAATATGAGTAAGTTTCTGTTTATTAAGACTTTTAAAGTTCTCAAGATGAATTAATTCGAATAATGGAAATAATTGACTGTAGCATAGAGATTTATTCATATTGCGTCCACTCTCGTATACAGCAAGAAAAAAAAAAAATTAAATATGAAGAGCGGTCCTTATCAATTCCGCAAGATTTTCCATATACAATCTTACCACAATTCCACATAAAACGTAAACAAAGTATCGAAGCTTCGTAATCGATTACAAAGCGGAAAGCTATCAGCTATTCGTCATCGATAGGGAAAGGAAAGTCTGGGCCATCCGAAAAAGCGGCGACCTTTTCCTTTGGGGATTTGTAAAGGACAACGTTTACAGGAGGAGAATGTCGAACATGGATGACCTACAAGCCAGAATTACAACCGCAATAACCTCTGTGGATGCCGACATGCTTGCCGGTACCTGGCGTGAAATTAAATATCGACTTGATATTCTCCGTGCGACGAAGGGGGAACACGTGGAAGTTCATTGACAAGGGTCATGAAACGTTTTGAGTCTATCTAACCATTTATATTATTAATTTTAATCTATCTTTATTATTTGAGTTATTAAACATCAAAATGGGTCCGGGACTTTATAAACACCCTGTATTTCTTTACTACAACACACTCTTTCTTTTTGACTTCTGAATTGACTTCAAATCATACGTCTGCACAGTTTCACTTCATTGAGATGCGAACAGGGTTTTTTCATTGGCTTGCGTAGTTGTCCAGATCTAAATTTTCTAAAGCATTTCGTGAATGGCGTACAGAAAAATTGGTTAAAATTGGTTGAAATATGATTGGTAACGAATTTTTCTGCATAGTATCGGTGGAATTTATTGAACTTGTTTTCATGCATTATTTGATAGAATTACAAACAAGCATGAAAATATTTTCTACGTGTAACGTGCAGCCAGCATATCGTTCTACAATTGTCCAGCTAACTATCGTAAACATTTTACGGAGAACGCCGCGTAATGTGATCACGGCTAATGTTATTATTCGGATATTGTTATCGAATTGTCGAACACCGCCGTTTGCTTATGAAAACATGGGAAAAATATATCTTATTGGGATCAGAAATTCGGTTAATATTATGAAAAATGTTGTTGAGTAATTTTACTGACTGAAATAAAGTCGCCAAATAAGGTCTAAATACTGTATTAAAAAATCGCCAAATAAGGGGTTATGTCGCGAACCTACTTGTTTTCGATTTCAGTAAACCATTTAAAATTAGCAAAAGGCAACTTTAATCGGGTTTAGATTTTTAATAATCCTGTCGATTTTGATGGTGATCAGACACAGGTCCCTTTCTTTCAGGAACAAAAATGTTTCTGCAGATTTTTTCTCCTGCTCCTTAAAAACAAAAAACAAAAACAAAAACAAAAAACTTCGAAAGCACTTCAGCCAAACTTAAGTGTGCTTTTCGCTTATTTTTAAGTTTCACATTTGCATGTTCTCTTACAGCAAATGCGATTATCAAGATCAAGGGTATATATAGCATTAGTCAAATGATTTCCAGAAATGTATATGAATGATAAATTTCATAAATGAACTATTCCGTTAAAGACATCGTGGCTAATCTTTGGAATATGCTAACAGGTAGTTTGGCGACATTTTGGTAAGACGATAAAGGTTACTAGCTAGGACTTTAGCAGTGTACATGGATAAAGTCAAGAGTGTGCGCAATGCCATTTTTGTGCAATTCTGGGATATTTTTTTTTTTTTTTAAGTGAAAATAGGTTGACGTGTACATGGATACCGTGTATGTGCAATTCTTAAAAACGCGGCAAGCAGAGGGCGATTCTGCACTTTCTCCCAATTTCCCACCTAATCTTCGTCATGATTAAGCACTTTTGTTCCATAAAAGTTCTAGCATAAGCGTAATTCGACTAGAAGATTGTTGGGAATAAATGTTGATTAACCCGGCGGAAGGCGCACAAAGAAAAATTACTAGAACGGGAGCGTGGGGTATCACATACCCCATTATTTAAAATACAATAAAAATAGTATTATTTAGTTTTAAAACTTTTTTTTTTTTTTTTTTTTGTTCTCGTGTATTATAAATAAGTGAATAATAATTGGGTTTCAAAAAATTAATTTCCGAAATAATCTTAGAGTTAAAATTAAGATAAATGAAAATAATAAACATCATGCCTCTAAGTTTCATTGCATCACTAATACACCATGCTTTTTTTATTTTTCACACTTTGAACGAAATACATTCATGTGTTCTTGGCACAGAATGTTTTCACATTTTAAACATTGCATTCACGTTCTTCTGTCCTTGGCGCGAGGGCAAAAAATTTAACACATCTTTCATACTTAGTTGTTTCTAATTTCATGTATTCGTTTTAATTCTTCATCGAAACTTCTGCTTTTGTTTTGCATGCAGTACGTCAATTTCTTGGAAAAGTATTAATCTCTGATCTTTGTTCAATACCTTTTTCATTAATTGTAATGCTAAGTCCTTCAAAAACAGACTTCTGTTTCTCGTTGGTGGATTAGCAGTTGAATGTAATATAATTCAAGCATTTATTACAGCAACATTCAGTGCAGGAAAGAAAATTACCATTGGCCACCTTCTCGTTATTCTGGCAATTGAATAATTAGCTGATATTTCATCCCCCATATCCACTACTCCTTTAGTCATATTATTAAAACATATAATTCCTAACGTTTTATTTTCTCCAATAATATCATCTATAGTATGATCGTTATATAATGTTATAATGATCGTTATATAAAGCATAACAACAGTTTTTCCTTTTTTAGAACATCAGGAATTAATGTTTTATCTTTTTCGAAACCAAAACAATGTAGAAAATATTCTTAGTTTCATCTTCAGTTTCCGAAATGCAATCTTCATCGCTTTCAAATATTTCTAATAAATCTCGCATGCGTAGCATCTTCAGTTCATAGGGACTCATTCTTTTTACCATAATGCAGTTAGAAATTTTTCAGAATTTAATGTCAAGTACTTTAAAATCACTTGCGAGTAGAAATATTTACTGTTACACTCTAGAAATAAATTTCTGAACTAAATATTCAGTCAGAAAAACACTTACGCGGACAGGCGCGTGGGATGTGTCATACCCCAATTCCAACAAAATACCGATAAATCTTTTTCTGAAACACACAGGCAAAGAAAAAGCGGCTCTGAAAGTCAAATACAACTAGAAACTCAGCTACTGAAAGCAGCACAGAATTTCAGTTTCACAAGTTAGGAATATTCCACTTTTATGTAGGGTTGGAGTATGATACACCCCACGCGCCTTCCCGCGGGTTTAAAAAAAAAAAAAAAAAAAAAAAAAAGCCTTTTCTTCGTGAAAACAAAATGGCGTCCAAAAACAAACTAGCAGGTTGCTGTAGCAGGGTTGGTCGCCAGAGTTTCGCCAAAAATCGCCAAGTTACCATAATTCAAAGATTAACCGACATCGTAAACGGATTTTTGCATTTTCAATAAAAAAATTGTGAAAATGCTAATTTATATCTTCTTTGTCATATTTATATTAAATTAGTTAAATTCCACCTTTTTTAAACAATACTTTTTTCATCGCATAATGTTATCAAAAAAGCAGATCAAACATGATCACACCTTTAAAAGGGGAGGGGGTATTTTCTTCCCCCTTTATGCATGCCTTCGGGGTGTAACGGTTAGCACGCTCGGTGAGTATTCGAGAGGTCCAGGTTCGAGTCCGAGATCATTGCGCAATTTTCACGTCTCCAGCATAAAAAAAAATGTATTGAGTCTACAAAGTATGTTTCAGTTTTATTTACTCCACTTAACTTTTTGTGGAGTTAGCTGGAGCCAGATAGAGAAGTAATAATCTCACAAGTTCTTAAATATTAAAACAGGTTGAATATATTATACTGTATTCTTGAGTAAACTGAGATATTAAAATATTGCCATGTAATCTCATTTTTTCCTCTTTTCTGCTTCCAGGCTGTGCAGAAATTTTTGGGTATTCGCCCCTTTATAGGGGCACAACATTTCTTCTTCAACCAGAGCAAAGGATTCCCCTGTTTGAGGAAATCTCCCCATAGCGAAGTCCCTAGATGTTTGGGGAAGACTAAAGGACGTTCTCATCCCCAGGTGGCGCCAGCTGCGCTTCAGAGACTGAGGGACTTCTTCCGACCTTTCAACCAGAAATTTTACCGGATGGTAGGACGGGATTTTGGTTGGCAATGAAACAATTTTAAATAGAAATCTCTTGAATAAAGAGACGGATGTAATTATAAATGAAAAGATAAAGTTCCTTACTGAATGCCTAAAGTTCGATAGGTATTTTATAGACGTTGTTATTTTATCTTTTTTTTAGATATAATGAATAAAATGCATAAAGTAAAGAAATTGTAGAATTATTTTTGATGGGTGAGGTATTGATGAAAAAATTTGAAATTAGCACTTCTTTTTTAATATGTTATCAACTGAGTATAACTTGTTCCTAGACTGAATTCATTTATAAAGGCTGTTTAAAATAGATAAAACAGAGGAATTACCGAACTGATTTTCATTTTACAGAGAGGGAGAGTACTTATCATCCAACAAAATTTTACTCGTTCCATGCACTAGTCCAATTCAAAGACATCTGAAGTCCAGTACTATGGTTCATGTCCAATATAGTCTGGAAAAGACAATATACACTGTGTCTTCTATTGTTAGTTTCTTTTTCCCATCTTTAGTGGTTATTTATAAGCACAGTACAGATTTTTTGTGTTCCATTTAATTAAAAATTAAAGCATTTCTATAAAAGTGTAAAACTATTTGCCATCTCATCCTGAAATGGTAACGAATCCTAGACATGATCACTGAGCCTAACAAAAGTTAAGAATTCCTAAGAATTAATATTTGGTGAGTAATAAAAAACTCTCAACAATGGACTTCCTTAGATGCAAACCTTTCTTGAATTTCAGTGGATTTATTAGAGCTTATTACGTCTTCCAGGATCATTAAAGTTGCTTAATTTTAGCAACAGCAAAGAGATAAGGACTTGAATACTTTCATATCGGTAGGAAATTATATATACGTTCATGTTTATGCAAAAACTATTTTGTAAAAGGTAAATATTAAGTATTTTGTACCTACCATTTTTTGCCAAATGTGTGCCTTGTAATTAAAAGGTAGTAAATTTTGTAACATAAATCATTCACGTGCCTTTTAATAAATGTGTTATGTCATAGTTACTTAGGTTAACAATGGCTTAGGCTTTTGTGAAACTGAATAAAAATTTTGGCATTTTTTCATGTCTGCTGTCACATAGTTCTGTCATTCTACCTTATTTGTATATTTTGTTTGTATTTTGTAATAAATGATGAAAGCAAAGACTGCTTTAATAAATTGTGGTGTTGTTTATTTGAGAAAATATTTTATTTTATTTTATGGCTAATGCTAAAAACACATGGAAACAATACAAATATGTATTTTCTGTCACAAATTTACCAGTTTCACTTTTCATTGTTTACATGAAGTACTATTTAATGAATTTCAAAAGTTCAGATGCAGAAGTTAGATAAAATGGCAATTCCATTTCTCTGTAATTTTATAAAGGTTAGTTATACAGTATAAATGGTTTTATAATCATATAGGTATTTAAAATTCAAAATCGTATGAAACATATATGAAGGATTGTGGCCTATCTTATAGTGTTCATTGGGATGATTACACGTGGTTGGTGTGTCATTCCAACGGTATTTACCAAAGTTCAACATTTATTACGATGATACAGTATACTATTATGCACATATTCATGATATATATTCAAGAGTGGCGCTACAAGATTTTCGCCTTTTTGGCGCTGCAAGATATGCTTCTGAACACGGTGAGTTACAAGGATTAAGGGGACTCATACACCTTAAAACCCAATAAGATGTTCGAATAGGTGACTGTTGCAAGAATTGGGATAACTTATTTATTTTAAAAGTAATTACTACCAACTTTTCACAGCTGACTACATAATATAGCTGCTTTCTGAAATAGTGATCAGAAAGTTTGTGTTGCCACAAATATGTTTATAATTTAATCCGCTTTGTGACAACATTTTTCGTCATGTTTCCAACTTGCGCGCACAGTTTAAAACATTCTGTTTCATAATTTAATTCTATATTTAATATATAGCTTTTATAATATTTGGAAACTACTGTGAACCTAAAATTCTAAAAAATTCATGTTACATTTTTATTTTATTTGGAGTTGAGTTTATAAAATGTAATTTATTAAAAAAATTGTAAAGTTTTCGTCCATAAAATTTTTCAGTATTAAAATATTCATCAGATTGTTGGTTCAGTTAGAAAATAGTGCTCATATAAAGAATTCCATCCAATTTCAAGTATGTACCATTAGCCATTTTTAAAATATCATGCGCGCAAGATGGAAACATGGCAAAATATTTTGTCACAAAGAGGATTAAATTACAAAACTATTTGTGGCAACACAAACTTTCCGGTTACTAGTTTCCAAAGCAGCTATGTTATGTAGTCAGCTGTAAAAGGTTGGAAGTAATTGCTTTTAAAATAAATAAAATATCCCAATTCTTGCAACAGTCACATATTCGAAGATCATGAGGGGTTTAAGGTGTACGAGTCCCCTTAACTGAACCTTTTTTGGCGCGATGATAGCGCCATCTATCTATTAAAGGCAGAATTATATATATATATATATAATATATATTAATGAATATTAATATTGAATTAAAGATAATTCTGCCATTTCCCTGGAATGGAACAGGGAAATTGAGAACTGGATAAAATTAATATTGGGACTTTTTAATAAAAAATTTGTTAGCTATAAGTCTCAATGCCTGTTCGACGAAACATGTTCTGGAATTTAGTAGAGTTTGAATGTCACCATGCATTTCCCTTGAAAAGTCCATGATGATATTCGAATTAGGCTAATTATTCTATTTACCGCTGCTTGTAGTACTTGTTGTTTTTTAATATGATTTTTTTGTTGTTTTTTCTAGTATGTTTTGAGATAGCTTACACTTTATTCTGCATACATAATAACTTTTAAATTTGAATCAAGTTAAGCATTCATCTTTTGCTATTTTTCTTAATTAATATTTCATAAATATTATGTTTTTACATTTTGCATTACAATTGGATCTTTACTTTGTGTTTATACTTTTTTGCAAAGGAACGAAGTATCACTTTAGCTCATAGGCTATAGTTTGAAGAATTTACTTTTTAACTTATAACTCGAGTAAAGACGAAACACTTTCGTATTTACGTATTTTTATCAATTATTGTTCATTGAACGGGAGTTGGTTTGTTCCCCTTGAAAAGTCAACTAATTTTCGATCAATGACAATGATTACATGTTTTAATTTTCCTTTACATGAATTTTTTCTCTATGATTTATCATCCCGTACAATTTAAATTACTTCAAATTTTCAAAAAATCCGTAAACTTTTAAAAAATTAAAAATTGTTAATCTTAAACTTTGAATATATTTACTTTGCATCAACTAAATGGATTTATAACATATATATATATATATAATTTATTTCCTAAACAATATTGATTAATTGATTATATTATCTCCTAAGTTTAATTAAAGTAGAATTATTTTAAAAGTGTGAATCCATACTGGTAAGTTATATTTTGAAAGATGTTTTGAAGTAATTTGAAAGCAAAATGTTAATAATGTTTTAACGGGGACTGGAGTTAAATCATCATGAAGAATAAAATTTCAATTGTAAAAGGAAAAATTAAAACATGTAATCATTGTCATTGATCGGAAATTAGTTGACTTTTCAAGGGGAACAAACCAACTCCCGTTCAATGAACAATAATTGATAAAAATACGTAAATACGAAAGTGTTTCGTCTTTACTCGAGTTATAAGTTAAAGCCAAACCGGCAATTCTAGTCAGGCCAAATATTTCCGCGAATAGAAGATTGTATACTCAAAGAACTTATTCTTCATGAAGCATTTTAGTCAATCAATTCAATTTGGAGTAAAAATCAATTACTGTAGAGAAATCCTGTAAAACTCGAGTAACCGTCCCCGACACTTCATCTTTATGTATTTGAGTACTATATTATTTGTAGAAATTAAACATTGGAAATTGTCATTATGAAATCGAATTCAAAGTAAAGTTGAAATAAACATAGAAGATTACAAAAAAGATAAATAATGCAAACTTTGTAAAAACAAATCAAAGAAAACATAAAAATAATATAAAAATAATATAAAAATAATATAGAAAATAATATAAATAAGATCAGTGAATGTACATGAAGATATAAAGGCCAGAAAGGTATTAAGTAACTTACATTCTTTCTAGTGGGGGAGTTGGCAAAGTGTTCTCTTCGTGTCTGACTCAGAAGTGTAGGGTGTCCGAAAATTCTTAGCGGCAGTAGGGGCTTTGAATAATATCAGTCGGTAAGACTTGGGTGAAGTAATTTATGGTAGTGGGTGGGACTTGGAATTCTTGAGGGATGTATTTTGTGTGGAGTTCTTATCTGAGAGAGACCGTCTGTTAAGATTTTTTTGAAAATACTAGTGAATGGAAATTAATTAATTTCTGGCTAATTGTCGTGTCGCAATGATTAAGAATTTAAGAAAGGAAAAAGGAATTTTCACTGTCCAAGAGCTAGTAGACAGTCTAAAGGCAGGAAATAGGCCCATTTTTTTAGTAACAGTATATGTCTGAAGACAATTAGCTTTTTTTACAATATATACAATTGAGTAATTACACTATATACAAATCTTTCAACTGACAGTCATCCAACTTATACCGCCTTCTCAGGTTTAGGAATAAATTATCATATCCCTATCAGTTAAATGATTTAGAGTGAGTATTTAACGCCTGCTCTTTTAAGGCAATGGTTGATAAATTGAAAGGGAATTAGATTATTTTTGAGAATTTTGATAAGGATCAAAATTTCGCGTTGTAAATCTATTGTATCTGTGCATATAGTTTTAATTCGTTGTATTTGATTAATTATAGTATTGTTAATTACTTTTTTGGATATGTTGGAGTTCCAATTTATTAATTTGTTAGTATTGAAATTGAAGTTTCTTGTTTTGTCAAAAAGTAAAATTTTTTTGTAGTTAATGATTTGAAGATCTAGAAAGTCTATGCTATTTTGTGAATTATTAGTTTTATTAAGTTTAAGACAATTCGGATAAATGTCGGAGTTTTCAATTTTACCAAAATTATTAATTGTAATAAGGTCATCAATATATCTGTAGGTGTGTTTGTAGTAATTTAACTCTTGTGGTTGTAGATTTTTTTGGAAGTTAAATTCTTTGACAAATAAAAAGATATTACAGATCGAGGTGCTGGAATGTAAGCCCATTGGCAATCCTCTGACTTGTTTAAAAAGTTGATTTTGAAACTTGATGTAGTTATGAAAAAGTGTGCATTTTAGGTAGGTTTTCCATTTGTCAAGAGTCATGATATTGAGTATATTAGGGAAAAGTTTTGGTAGATCAAGTAGACTGGTATAGATTTCTTCTAGAGGAAGTGAGGTATATAAGTTTTCAAAATCATAGCAGTTAATGTTTTGGATGTTAATGGTTATGAATGGTATTAATGACAGGAGTGTTATTATGAATGATCCAGCAATAGTTATGATTAGTGTTACAATCATTGAAAATAAATTTACAGATTTTATTAAGTTGAATTGAAAAATAATAGTCTACATTTTTCTTGTAATTATTAGTTCCATTAGCTATAAATCTAAATTTTAATGGTGTTTTATGGAATTTGGGAATCGCATAAAGATTAGTAAATCTGTTGTAGTTTGCATTGAAAGTAATATTGAGTTTCTTATGAAAAGTTTTAATCCTGTTTATTATAGATGTTTCTGTAAGGTTGGCTAATTGATAAGTAGTTGCGTTGAGAAGTTCTTTATGAATAATCTCAGTGTAGAATTGTTTTCATATAATGCTAAAGTTATTAGTTGCTTTATCTATTTTTGTAATAGTAAAAAGCTGTTTTAATTTACTAATATCTGATGTAAGTTGCGACCAATTCAGTGTACTTTTAAATTTGAGGTGACTGATTTCGGTGGATATGCGTTGAAGAATTTTAGCTTTCCATTTTAAGAAGGTATCTATGGGTAAATTCAGTTGATAGCTTGCTTTAACTATAAATTCGTTGATGTTGTTTTCGAAAGTCTTGTAACAGTAATTTGTAGTCATGTTTCTGACTGGTCTAAATTTTGTACCATAACTCATTAGTGTTTTTAGTTGATGGTTTTGTATGATATTCAGGTTGCCAGTAATTATGTGCTGGTGATGAGAATCTACGTAATTGCTGTAAATTGGTGTCTTACAATGTCATTCTGCAGTTTCATCTATTTCATGGTGGTTAGTAAGCAAGTTGCTTAA